CGTCGGCTTTCCAACGCACTTTGAATCATTCAAATCCGAGTTTGGACGAAGAATTTACGGCGAAAACAATTAGACAGGCATAACAGGGGTCTCAGGCTAAACTGAGACACCCGGAGTGTCTCGGCCCTGTTTGAGACACCCTTGGGTGTCTCGGCCCTGTTTGAGACACCAGAGGGTGTCTCGGCCCTGTTTGAGACACCAGAGGGTGTTTCCAGTTCAGATTCGTCCCGTGCCTATAAATACAAGCCCCGGAGCCTCATTTTTTGAGATCTGAAGTTTTGGAGAATTAGCGAAGCCCTGCCAGACTGAAGAGTGATCGAGTTCTTCAACGCAAGAGATCGAGAGTCGTCAGATCTGCATCACCCGCATCCGATCCTTAGTATTATCCCGTTGTGATTATTCTAAGAAGAGCAATTATCTCGCTGTTGTCGAGATAAGCGCTTCTGTTTCTGGATTCTTGGCGAATCAATGAAGCTCTGCCCGATTTTTCAGTAATCAGATCTGATCGACGGTGGTCCACGGATAAACCCCGGCACAGGCCAAGATCCCACACAAGCAGAAGACCGATAAATGATCTCTGCGTTTGTTTGAAAAAGTTATAAACTTTTTTTATTTTCATTGTGTAAGGAGATCTTATAAAAAGATCAACTTTTTATTTCATTCGAGTTTATTGTAACGACTAAAGTTGTAATAGATTCGATAGCAATGAAAACATCAACTTTCACCGCAAACATTCATCCCCACCCCAAGCCCAAAAAGCATAACCCAAAAGCCCTTATACTGATAAAGGTGTGCAAGTAACCCCCAAACCCATTACCCAATAAAATCATTCCTAAATTACCCTTCCCTCTTCCCTCTGCAGGTTATTTTCACATTTTCTCTTCCTCCACCGCCAGCCCCACTCCTCCTCCGGCCTCATCCCCTCTCCTCCACCGCCGACCGTCGGCCCCACTACTCCACCGCCGACCGCCGGCCCCACTCCTCCTCCGGCCCCATCCCCTCCCTCTCCCCCTCCTCAATCAAACGTCGAGCATGGATGAAGATGAAGAGCTACACTGTGGGATCTCTACCTATAATATTCTACATCCCCAACTTCATCACCCAATCTGAGCAAGCCCATCTCCTCCATCAAGTAATTTCTCTTTTTTTTGCTTTGGTTTTTATTTTCTTTAAATTTATATGGGTCTGTAAACCCTAATTTTGGATGTAACTGAAATTGAGATGTAGATGTAACTGAAATTGAGGATTTGGGGCTTTTGATTGGATTTGGCAGCAAAGAGGGTGTCGATTTTGTAACTTGAATCATGGAATCAAATCAAAGCTTGATTGTGATTCTCTTTTGTGTTTGAGCCCCCTTTGTGTTTATTGTTGTGGATTTCTTTGGTTTTGCTCGTTCCAATGAATTGATGAATTACTCATGTTAAATTTTTTTTTTAAATTTTAGGTATTAGAAGTTAGTCGGTAAGCCTTGATGGGAGAGGAATTAACAAAAAACCATGGCTTTGTCTTGGGGAGCAAATCAAATGAGGAGGAGGAGGAGGAGGAGGTTGAGAAGGCAAGGAGGCAGATGTAGATGTGTGGGCTTAGATTGGGGATGGGGAGGATGGTGCAGATTCACTCGAGCCCGCCCGATCAGAATATGCACAGTTCTTGGGGCTCTGCTGTTGATGATGATGATGATAAGAAGGAGAACAAAAAAATATTTTCGATCGAATCATGTAGATTTCTCAGGGGATGATGACGAGGAGGAGAGCAAAAGACGAGTTCTTTTTCCCTTTTTAATTCAACTTCGGATCATTCTATGTGCAAATTCACGTCGTTTGCGAATCTACAAATGGAATCTCTTCCAATGTGGTTATTAGTATAGTTGGTTTTGTGCAAATTTGTCGTTTGAACGGTTAACAAAGTTCATCGGTTTGTAAAATTTGATAAGGAAATAGAAGTCAACTTGTTTAATTTTTCTATAAAATTCTGTTTGTCCTTCATGTGACAAGCCATCTTAGAATTGCTCCAGGTGTCCTTTTATGAGAAAATCTTGGGCTCTTAAACAATACATATCAGGACAAATGCGATGATTAACTACAAATATCACATATTAATATCCAGGTGTCCTTTATGTGATATTTGTAGTTAATATATGATATTTGCTGTGTTATTCAAGTTTTTGATATTTATATGATTTATTACATTTGTTTATATAACATATGATAGTTTCATGTGACATATAACAGATTCATGTCACATATGCTGTTTTATGTGACATTTGTTGTTTATACGTGACGATTGGGTGTTGTATGTGATATTTGAGTATTGTATGTGATATTTGGGTGTTGCTTGTGACATTTGTTGCTTATACATGACATTTGGGTGTTTTATGTGATATCTGGGTGTTGCTTGTGACATTTGTTATTTATACATGATATTTGGGTGTTGTATGTGATATTTGGCTGTAATTTATTGATAGTGAATGTGCTTATTTGTCACATGACTGTAATTTGTTTATACGTGACACATGGCTGTAATTTGTCGTATGTGATATTTAGATCTAATAGAGTCATTCCACATGTGCTTATTTGTACATGATATGCTCATTTGTCACATGCAGAATGACTCTATTAGATGTGACTTATATCACATACAACCCATATATCATTAAAATATCACATGATATGCTTATTTGTCAAATGTGGAATGACTCTATTAGATGTGACTTATATCTGTTGTATGTGATATGTGGGTGTTGCTTGTAACATTTGTTATTTGTACGTGACATTTGGGTGTTGTATGTGATATTTGGCTGTAATTTGTTGATAGTGAATGTGTCACGTATAAACAACAAATGTCACAAGCAACACCCAAATATCACATACAACACCCAAATATCACACACAACACCAAAATGTCACGTATAAACAATAAGTGTCACAAGAAACACTCAAATATCACATACAACACTCAAATTTCACAAGCAACACCAAAATATCACATAAAACACCCAAATATCACAAATCAAATTTAATTATCACATATAAGGTAAAACTGTCACATGTAAGATTGAATTGTCACATATAACATTAAAATATCACATGATATGCTTATTTGTCATATTTACGGCTAATTGTGATACATATATGTTCTCTCATTTTTCCCATTTAATCTTGAATAACTAAGAAACATAACAACACTCCCAAGTTGAACACTAATTGGATCAAAATCATCCTTACAAAGGATTTCAACTCATCAAATAAAAATACATCAGGAAGTTACAATCCCAACCCACCATTCCATTTTCTTATCAAATTTTACAAACCGATGAACTTTGTTAACCGTCCAAACGACAAATTTGCACAAAACCAACTATACTAATAACCACATTGGAAGAGATTCCATTTGTAGATTCGCAAACGACGTGAATTTGCACATAGAATGATCCGAAGTTGAATTAAAAGGGAAAAAGAACTCGTCTTTTGCTCTCCTCCTCGTCATCATCCCCTGAGAAATCTACAAGATTCGATCGAAAATATTTTTTTGTTCTCCTTCTTATCATCATCATCAACAGCAGAGCCCCAAGAACTGTGCATATTCTGATCGGACGGGCTCGAGTGAATCTGCACCATCCTCCCCATCCCCAATCTAAGCCCACACATCTACATCTGCCTCATTGCCTTCTCAACCTCCTCCTCCTCTTCATTCGGTTTGCTCCCCAAGACAAAGCCATGGTTTTTCGTTAATTCCTCTCCCATCAAGGCTTGCCGACTAACTTCTAACACCTAAAATTTAAAAAAAATTAACATGAGTAATTCATCAATTCATTGAAACGAGCAAAACCAAAGAAATCCACAGTAATAAACACAAAGGGGGCTCAAACACAAAAGAGAATCACAATCAAGCTTTGATTTGATTCCGTGATTCAAGTTACAAAATCGACACCCTCTTTGCCGCCAAATCCAATCAAAAGCCCCAAATCCTCAATTTCAGTTACATCTACATCTCAATTTCAGTTACATCCAAAATTAGGGTTTACAGACCCATATAAATTTGAAGAAAATAAAAACCAAAGCAAAAAAAAAAGGGAAATTACATGATGGAGGAGATGGGCTTGCTCAGATTGGGTGATGAAGTTAGGGATGTAGAATGTTGTAGGTAGAGATCTCACAGTGTAGCTCTTCATCTTCATCCATGCTCGACGTTTGATTGAGGAGGGGGGAGGGAGGGGATGGGGCCGGAGGAGGAGGGGGGCCGGGGGGGGGGGGCCGACGGTCGACGGTGGAGGAGAGGGGATGAGGCCGGAGGAGGAGTAGGGCTGGCGTTGGAGGAAGAGAAAATGTGAAAATAACCTGCAGAGGAAGAGGGAAGGGTAATTTAGGAATGATTTTATTGGGTAATGGGTTTGGGGGTTACTTGCACACCTTTATCAGTATAAGGGCTTTTGGGTTATGCTTTTTGGGATTAGGGTGGGGATGAATGACCCAATTTAATTTGGTTCCCCCAAACAATTTTCCATTTTTTTATCTCTGATGCCGAGGAATTTAGTGTGTTCGGGCTTGAGAATCTGTTGTGTTGCTCCCATGGATTTCAAAGAGAGAGAAAGACAGTAAGAAGGACAAAACAAATGTTAGATAAGAGAAATTGACGGGTTTGTGAATCTCCATTGAAGTGGGTATAGGGCTAGCTATATGGATCTATATGTGACCTTATATAACTTGCATCAAAATTTCCTATCGCAGCTAGGAGAGAAATTGTGGCTTTAGGAGAGAGGAGGTAGAAGTTGGCCAATATATAAGGAGTACATTAGTAATACGAATTTGATTAGGAGTCCTCCACCTACTTGGTTTGAAGAGAAATTTCACAAATTTGTATTTCAAAACAAAGTGATCGTTTGGATTTATTTGAAGATTTATAATATAATTTATATACAGCAATGGACATTGCCTTTTTTATGACATACTTCTTCTTATATTGTGATTATGATAATACTCGTTTGAAGAGTATTATCTGCATGCACACCAAATTTTTATTTTCAACAACTTTACGGCTCCTTGGGATCTCAGGTGAATGTAACTGCAATAGGACTCCTCACAGAATACTTGCCAGAATCCCATAGTAGTTGCCCTTCTGAAACTTTGCCTGCTTTTGGTGGAACTCCCTGAATACTCAATGTCACAGTAAAATCTTGTTTTTCACCTTCATTATTGAATGTAAGGGTAATAGGGTCAACATCCACATCCACTCCCTCTGGATTATCAACCTTCACCATGTAAACCGAATTAGCATCACCAACATTCGTCACGGTTCGATTCACAGTCTTCGATACCGATTTAGCCCCGAGATACACCGAAATGGAAGGATAGTTCAATTGCTCAGGTTCAATAGCTTGAACTTGAGAACAATTTAATGGACCACGAACAACTGCAGACACATTTCCAAGTTTCATGCCACAAAGATACCGGATGTAATCATGCAGGTCGTTGTCATAGATCAGACCCGGATCGTTAGCTGCGACCGGATCCACATGACCCGATCCCATAGTGAAAACTCCAGCATTTTGACCATCGTATTGATCTTTTATCGGATTACCATCTCGGTCTTTTGTGTAGGCTGTTGTCATGATGGCTGATTTAATTGCCGCGGGTGACCAATGTCGATGATTGTGCTTGAGAAGAGCTACGATCCCTGAAACATGAGGTGCGGCCATCGAAGTTCCACTTGCCATGATGAACGTCTTATCCGTGCCTGTATGATTCGGTCCCACTTCAGTTGGCCAAGCTGCGAGAATGTTCGAACCGGGTGCAATAAAGTCTGGCTTTATGATGTTACCGTTGAGGAGGTTAGGCCCTCGATTCGAAAAGGAGGACACCACAGGTGCAGGGCGGTGTCCAAATTGTGTTCCGTTGAACTTTATCGCTGCAGTCGGATTTGATGTCTGGTTGAGATACTTCATAATTTTCTTTGCATCCTCGTAGGTAACACGAGAAGCTGGATGGAGAAAAGCATCGGCGTCCGTTTGATTCCCCATCCACGGCTGGCTCAGGATTATAATGGCGACGCCACCGGCCTTTTTAACGTTATCGCTGGCTTCCACATTCCACTTATAATCCGGCTTGGCTCCACACAGCACAATCTTACCTGTGACGTTGATCAATTTTGGAGAATTAACCTGGCATTTCTTCGCATAAATCAAAGGAAACTGAGTGGGAGCGAAGTTATCTGGCTGATAAGCAGATTCCCCATAGAATTCTCGGCCATCTCCGAGCTCTACTATCGATCTTACCCTTCTGTCCATGACGCTCGATCCGACCATTAGAATCCACGGAGCTCCGTCGACCTGGCTCGGTTGAGGCCCCGCGTTTCCCCCTGCCTGAACAGGAACGATCCCCTTTGTAACGGCCGCGAATGATCCGATCGCTATCGTGTCCTCATCAAGTTTATGAGGTTTGTCAAAGCCTAAAGACATTGAGAGCACATGTACCTGATCATGGATAGCTTGGTCTATACCTTTGAGAATATCTTTAGAAGTCCCGGGCAAGACTTTGTAGACTGAAAGATGAGCTCCGGGCGCCAGGCCTGAAGCCGTGCCATTAACGCAACCAAGGACATTGGCATCATCGACGGTGGTACCAGCTGCCGTGCTCGCCGTGTGGGTCCCGTGCCCGTTGGTGTCCAACGGAGAAACTAACCGTCCATTACGGAAACCAGTAGCTGCGATCAGCTTCTTGTTGCATCCGCCTCGGCTCCAGTAGCATTTTCCTTTCCAGGACGGCGGTTGCGGAGGCGGTGACATCTGCTTGTCGTCAAACGAAGGGTGGCTGTACTTAATTCCAGTGTCGATCATACCGATTATTTGACCTGCACCGTAACCTGAGTCGGGCCACAATCCATCCCACCGGCTCAGGCCCAAGAACTTCGGGCTGTAGGTGGTTCGGAGTTTGCACTCGTATTCAGGATGTGCACTCACTACTCCTTGTTTAGATTTCAGCGATTGCAATTCTTGGGGGGTAAAGATTGCTGCGAAGCCACTGATCGCGTGTCTATATGTGTAGATCATCCGAGGCTCACTGGAGTCTAAGGTTGCGTTTGGTAAGAAAGACATGTACCAATTTCTTCGGTCTCTGAAGGTGAGGAATTTGGTGTGTTTGGGCTTCTGTACATGGACGATGTAGGCTTGGGATTTTGTTGTGTTGTTTCCGTGGACTTCGTAGAGAAAGGAAGAGGCCAAGAAGAGCAGGAGAAAGGCTAGATGAGAGAAACTAATGGGTTTATGTATCTCCATTTCTGTGACGATATAGACCAATGTTGAAGACTTGAAAACAGAGAATCAGGTTATATAGAATCAAGAACCAGTTCAGGTTCACAGTTGTTTCGATATTTAATATTGCAATGAAGAGGATAATAAGCCGGGAGCAGGTATCCAATGTTTATAATTAAATTTGTTGCTTTAGGAGAAAAGAATAAAAAATTAGAAATAATAAGTGTACATGTAATAGGAGTAGTTTATGCTATGCTTATGCTGGAAGTAGCATCCTATGAGTGAATAATGCAAGAACAATGACTGTTAAGTATTTATTTTCTTTAAGTTAGGTTACACTTTATAGTTCATTACAAACCAACTCAATAATTAGAAGCTAACTTTATTCTCGACTTTATATCAGAACAAAAACCCCTTAACTTTGGATGATTGTCAAATAACCTCCTATAACTTTCAAACAACAGGAACCCCAACAGAACCCCTTTAGCTTTTAAGATTTTATCAAAAACCGAGATTTTCACTGAAAAAAACATCCAACTGCATAATTTCACACCTGTGTATTCCTATGCTAGAGACTACAACAAAGCATATCCCCTAACAAAATAAGAAATAATTCGTCGCCGCACAAAAATGGCACATAAAAATGATCATCATAATCCAATGACCACATTAACATGACAGTCATTGTTATAAAAATAAGTTTGGACTAGATCCACTAATCAAACCCTGTTGAGGGCAAAACATGCATGGCATATAGCTACTACTAGTAACGAAGTTACAAAAGCAGCTGCATGTTACCGCAACTATTATACTCACGAACTTCATTCTTCATTCTTCATTTCGAGATACTATAGATAGGTATCAAGATCCTTCTAGTTTCAAGTATCTCTCAAGGGGCATATCCACCACCAGAACCTTTACCAGCACCATATCCGCCACCACTACCGCTTCCACCGCCATCTCCACCACCGCGTTCTCTGCCAGAATCATAAACCCTGCAGCTTCACTGCCTCCATAGACGATACCATTGCTCCCACTGGGGATTTTAGATTAGGACACAATTCGAGGAGAATGAAGTGTCCAAAATGTGATCTCTTTGCTGAGTTTTGTGCCCCTGAAATTTTGACAGAGTTGAAGGTTGAGGAGTAGAGAGAATATCATTCGAGGAGAATGAAGTGTCCAAAATGTGATCTCTTTGCTGAGTTTTGTGCCCCTGAAATTTTGACAGAGTTGAAGGTTGAGGAGTAGAGAGAATATCATATATTGTTTAATTTATACCAAAACCATCTTAAAACTACATTTAGCATGCAATCAACCACGAAGGACTAATTTCTATTCACTTGAAATAGTGTGTTTGGGAGTTTACTAAGGAAAGGGAAGGGAAGATAAAATAGGAAAAATGAAGGTAGAGAAGGTGAGAGAAAATATAATATCTTGTTTAGAAGTTTAATGAAGGGAAAATATATATAATATCTTATTAGATTCAGATCGCCTTCAGGTGGACAAGCTGCATGCTAGAATGTTCGAACCGGGGGCAATAACACGCAGGCCACGGTGCAACTCCCTCAGCACTTAATATCAAAATAAAATCTTGCCTTTTCCCTTCTTGAGTGAATCTAAGTGTATTAGGGTAAACATCTACATTAATTCCCTCTGGATTATCCAATTTCACTATATAAATAGAGTCAGCATCACTCACATTCGTCACCGTTCGATTCACGATCTTCATCATCGATTTCGCCTCAAAAGACACTGAAATCAATGGATAATTCAATTGTTTGTTGAGTCCAGATAAAATTTTGGCTCACTCGATACAAATTATCTTATTCCAATTAATCCAAAACAATAATAACTTTCCTATGGGCCAAGTTACTTTTTCTTGGAATTAATTGCAATCTAGATGTCATTAAAACTTAATGAAGTGTGTTAATCCTTATTTGACTATTCTCATGACATAAGATGCTATGGCTATTTCTAAGTCATTTGGTAATTGTTATTACTTCAAGACATCATAAATCTAGAATATTAACAACCTGTAGAACACATATATTGCACATGCTTCATGATAAAATTATAAAAGAAAATAACTTAACTTTATTACTTTCAATTTAGAAAGAACTATATTTTCTTTTTCCTAAATGCACTGTAGCATGGCAAATCAATGTTATATATAAAAAAAATTCTACATAAAAACTTGAGTCGATGAACAAAAATGCATCTGTATAATTAAACCGAAAGCATTTAACTTTTATTAAAGGAACCTAATGTAAAACTTTATTAACAACCATGTTGACAGAACCACAAATAAGGATTGCAGGTTTAGTAAGATCTTATAACCCAAATATCTCAATGGGCCGAATTAATTAAAATGGAAACAAGCATTGGCCAACATGGACACAAGCATAAAGTTCAATTAATTTAGTAATATACGATCTTTATAAAATTTGAATGATATCTATACTTTATGCCAGTAAGAAGTACAAATAGGATCATCACTAAAGACGAAACAAACAAAAAACGCAAGTTTCCTCAAACTTTAATTTTCTTAAACTTTAAGAACAGATTAACTAATTAACAAGATAAGAACTTTTAGAGGCATTATACTTAATTATAAATATTGCCTTCATCTCGGTTTTTCATGTCTCATGTTTATTGTACTACGACTTTATAGGCTAGAAAAGAACAATGAATAACAACATGATTTGAGATCTTAAAGACTAAACAACATAGATGGAGTTGGCTCTGATACCACATGTTAGATATTGAAATCCAAATAAGTACAAAGAACACAACAGAAATAAATTAAACTGAAAGATATCTCCAGCCATTATTGTCTAGATAAACTTGTAACTTAGAAAATTAGATAAAAAGTAGAGATTATTTGAGTATATACATAAATAAAGAACAAAAGTTAGATCACCGTTAGAATAAATAAAAATAGAGAAAATAGAAAGAGTTTCGAGCCTATGCCTTACCGAAAAGGCTTAAATCTGATGGAGGAACTATGATTGTATTTATAGGCTAGCTTAGGACACTTCTGTTATAAGTAGAATTCTTAAAAGATAAGACTTCTTAAAATATTTTTCATCCATCAGGGAAACTACATAGATATGATCTTATCTAAATCCATTATAACTCTTTATAGTATAAGAATTTAAATATCATAACAAATTAAGATAATTTGTATCGAGTGGGCCAAAACTTTAACCGGATACAACATTGTAGGTTGCTTGAATTTTAGAACATGTGACGGAATCATGAATAATCGTTGACACTCTCTTGTTACTAAGTTGCATCCCACAAAGATATCGGATGTAATCATGGGGGTCAATATCATACACAAGACCCGGTTCGTTAGCTGCCACCGGATCAACATGACTCGATATTGTGAGGGAGTTGAGATCTTTGTTTAGGGTTATATTTGTGAGCTTGTGTGAGTTGTAACTCATTGTATTTCTCCTCCATATAGTAAAATCTCCCCATCCTCTTCCCGTGAACGTAGGCAATTCGATATTGTGAGGGAGTTGAGATCTTTGTTTAGGGTTATATTTGTGAGCTTGTGTGAGTTGTAACTCATTGTATTTCTCCTCCATATAGTAAAATCTCCCCATCCTCTTCCCGTGAACGTAGGCAATTGGCGAACCACGTAAATCTCAGTGTTTGTGTGATTTGGCTGTTATTTTGTGAATTACACTCGTATTTGGTTTTAGTTTTCTTCTCTCGTCGCTCGCCTACTCGTTTGGTTTGCGAGCACGCTTCCGTACAACACGCAACAAGTAGGAGTGCGACACCGACAAATCTAGATCATGGGAGATTGTTTTTTTTTTGTTTCTTGGACTTGGTTTGAATTGAATTGGTACAGATTGGTGGGTATTTAGTGAGGGAGCACATGGGTAGGAGTTGTATTGGGATGTCAAAGAGAGCAACCGCTTAGAACCTGCGTTTTTGCTGCAGTGCACATTCATTTGTTGGATTTGCATGTTACCATCATTTTCTCATGAACTTGGCCTTATTGAAGATAAACTTGATTGAATTCCTTGGAAATTCAGAAGATCATTTAGTTATTTGAGGAGTCAAACGCATGAATATGTAGATGCATGAACGTTGTTGGGAAATTTAGGAGTCTTTCTTAGAAAATCTATGAGCCATTATAGTAGTATATATGTGTGGTTTATAAGTTGAAAGAAGTCAAGCAACGAAGAAAGAACAATCAATAGAATACTTTTTTTCTCCTCCAAATTATTTATCTTGGACAAACTATTGTTATCAAATTGGTGTCAGAGCTAATATGAGTTCCAATGGAATGATCCAGTTTGTTGCTCCTAAACTCACAAAGGAAAATACAAAAGATCATTGTGTTAGAGTTGGCTCAATTTCCAACTCATTTATTACTGCAGTTTTTCTGCATGCAGATATAATTTTGCATGGTCTTTTCGGGCATGATGCAGTCATTATTTGGCTCGGAAATCTACATAAAAGTTGTAGAGGTGCATGTATAGTTTACTCCAAGCTTTAAATCACAGAAAACGAAACAGTATTGAGGGAGTTATGATCAGTCAAAGTACCCTACTAAAATCTAATCAGATTTGTGTATTCCCAAGCATTTTGGAAGATGAAAAGATTCATCAAGGCCTATAAATAGGCATCCTCTCACTGTGGAGAGATCATCCAAAATCATCCAACTTTTCCACTTGTTCTCTTGAAAGTATGGAGGGTTAGAGTGAAGGAGAGTCTCTTGTGTTGTAGAGATCTCGAGTGTTGAGTTAAGAAAGAAGGAGGGTGTGTGAGGGCTGTGTGGAAGTCGGCGTTGTCAGGTGTGTCTTGTGTGCCTTGTACCCATTTGTTGATTCCATATAGTGAAGTATCCTCCGAGCTCCGAGCTCAACCCGTGGTTTTTCCCGTTTGAGTTTTCCACGTAAATCCTTGTGTCCATTTATTTGTGTGATTGTCTTTTATCTTTTTGTCATTAAGAACAAGACCCTAAAGTGGTGTTGAAAAGTTTTGTG